GCATTTATAAGAGGCTGGTTCATTAATCAACAAGCCTGAAAGAAAAAACAGAGGAAAAAACAATACGAATCCTTAAGCAAGCAAATCCATAAAGAAGAAATGGATCTAAAGAAAGGAGAGGAACCAGATGATGTAAAATCTAGATTAAAACGTTTGCAACACCAAATAAATTTACTAATGATGCAAGAATTAGCAAAAAAAATTAGAATATACTAACCAATATTATTTTGACAATGCAAATAAACCAACTAGATGGCTCGCCTATAAACTAAGGAAAGAAAAGGAAAAAAGAATAATTATGACCCTAAAAGATGGAAACGCCATAGAAAAGCATAGTTTACAAGAATTGAAAGAAATCGTGGAAGGCTTCTATAAGAAATTATATCATCAAGAAGATGTAGATAATCAAGCGATAGAATATTATCTCCAAAAGCGGAACACAAAGAGGTTTAATGAAAATCAGAAAAAAATACTAAATGAGCCATTCTCAATATGTGAGATTACGGAGGCAATTAAAAAGCTAAAGAAAAAGAAGGTGCCGGGACTGGATGGATTGCCATCTGAAACATACCAGATTTTTGAAGAACAAATAATACTACCATTAAAAGGAGTATTTCAAAATATAGTAATTACAGGAAAACAGCCAGATACATGGAACCAAGCCCTGATAGCATTAATTCATAAACCCCATACAGATGCGAAAGAGATCAAAAACTATAGACCTATCTCCCTTCTAAATGTAGATTACAAAATCTTTGCTAACATAATAGCAGCAAGATTAAAAAGAGTGTTAATCCAAATTATCCATCAAGACCAAACCAGATTTCTCCCAAAGCGTCAACTGAAAAATAATATAAGAACTATAATCAATGTTTTAGAGTATTATGAGACACATTCAGATAAACACATGGCGCTAATCTTTCTGGATGCAGAAAAAGCATTCGATAATGTAAATTGGGAATTTTTACACCAAAAAATGGCATTACGGGAGTGCAGACCATCCTTTCTTTCAATGATTAGGGCAATATATACAAAACAAACCATGAAAATCATAATAAATGGGGATATGACTCAGAACATAGAGATACAGAACGAGGCAAGGATGCCCGTTATCACCTTTATTATTTATTTTTACTCTAGAACCTTTAAATGATACAATAAGAGAGGATCCCCAAATAAAAGGGTTGAAAATAAAGGATGAGGAATTTAAATTACAAGCATTTGCCGATGACCTAGTATTTATTCTGGAAGATCCTACAATATCTATTACACACCTGATTAAAGCAATTCAAGAGCTTGGTCAAGTGGCGAACATTTTTACGAAAAACTGTGATTCAAAACAAATAGTACTACTACAAGAAATTCTCATCTATGGTCATGGTGAAAAAAGTAAGATATTTAGATATAGAGATGACGAACAGAGGTAATTCTTTGAAGACAATTATAATATATTGTTGAAAGAAATAAAGAAGGACCTTATAAAATGGAATGATCTTCAATTATCCTTTACCGGAAGGATAGCAACAATAAAAATGAACGTGTTTTAGTCCAAAACTTACGTGCAAGGACTTCTACATGACTTTCACATCCATGGCCCCTCTTCCACACCCAAATCCTGTTCCTGGTCATCCCCTCTTAAGTAGGAGCAAGATTTCAAAAAGCATTTCATGCTGATTAGGGAGGGAGGAGCTGTAAAACTCATGTTCCTTGAGTGAGAGTGCTCGCACCCACAGTAATGCTGCACTGGATACCACCCCAGGTTCTCTTTTTTAAAAAAACATTTTTTATTGCTTTTTATCTCTACACACTACAGGATACAGGGAAAAGGAATAATATAAACTAAAATACAGAGTAAGCAGGGATCAAAAATGTTTTAAGTTTCAGTCACCTGATATTTCCTCATTGTTTAGCTTTAACATAGTTGGAGATTAAAAATTGTTATTTCTATCTTAAACAGTGCAAACAAGATTAGCTATAGTGTGTGCATTCTAGTAAATAAAGACAAAGGAAAGAACAGTAGAGGATTTCTTGTAGTCTGCACACCAGTCTGTTGAATTAACGTTCTCCCATCAAAGCCACTATTTTACCCCTCACTTTCTTTCTTTTTTGGCTGCTTTTCCCGGGGTAGGGTAGCCTCCCCCCCTTCGTTGTATTTGGGGCTTTTTAAGCGATTTTGTGGGTTTGTGTCTAAGTACTTGCACAGTTTGCCAAATAATCACTCACACTTTACTCCTTGGCTTGCGCCGACAAAGGAAAGAACAGTAGAGGATTTCTTGTAGTCTGCACACCAGTCTGTTGAATTAACGTTCTCCCATCAAAGCCACTATTTTACCCCTCACTTTCTTTCTTTTTTGGCTGCTTTTCCCGGGGTAGGGTAGCCTCCCCCCCTTCGTTGTATTTGGGGCTTTTTAAGCGATTTTGTGGGTTTGTGTCTAAGTACTTGCACAGTTTGCCAAATAATCACTCACACTTTACTCCTTGGCTTGCGCCCAGAAATGGGGAAAGTCTCTTAACACCAGATCTCCTGCTCGCTCGTTCCTGTATACTTCTTTAAGTCCATGGCTGGTCTTGCACCAGCGGGACCTATCAGGGCAAAAGGAAGCCTTGATCCTTTGGCTGTCGCCTCAGGAGAGGCCTCCCTCGTGCCCCAGGCTACGAGCCCTCTCCAGGGGCTCTGGGGGCCCCCGGAATATTCCAGGACCCCTCCCGTCTGGTGCGATTGCGGGCCGCTCTCATCGGGGCTGTGATGGAGCGCACCCGCCAGCGAAACGCCAAAGCTGGAAGCTGTGAGCTCGATACCACCCCAGGTTCTCAAGGTGCAATAGTCAGAGAACATGGCATGGGTTCCACAACATCTTCATATGGAGGAGGCAGCAGAAAGCCATACTTTGCTGGGTGAACTTGGTTGTGTGAATCCGGCTTCAACTGACGTGCTAAGAAACACTGAGGGGATCCAAACAGAAACTAGCGCATGTTCTGTGTTAGGCAGAGCTGAAAGACCCTGCAGTTTTTTTAGAAACTGCAATCATCTTGAGAACAGAAAATGAAATGCTCTTTGAAAATGAGAGTGACCTTGCTAGAAAAGTTGCAGGATATTCTGTTCTTGATCAGCAAAGCTTCAGCAAGAAGTTCTTGTTTTGAAGCTGGCTGTAGGACACTGCTTTTGTAACAAGGGCAAATTTTCAAAAGAAATGTGCTTGAGATCCTCTATAAGAAAGGTTCTTTCATCAATAGTTTTGGGAAAAGACATTTTGATAGCTAGAAGCTGTGAACAAGACTTCTCTCATGTCACTTTCAATTGCAGCTTGGCTTTTACAATGAGGTTATATTTTAGCACGCCAAAAATAACCCTTCTGGGCAAATACAAATAAAAAAAAAAGGATGCAGCAACATTTCAGGCAATTAAATGGAGGATTCTTGGGTTATCAAGTGAGCAGTTTTACACAGGATTCATGCTGATCTCCATATATATTCCAACTAGTCCAAATAACACAGCTGAGGATTCACTAAGTTCGTGGAAGTGGGTCAGTCTGAATGACAGAAGTACAAAACCCCACGCAATCATGAACCTCTGCCCCCTGGCACTTTCAGTGTAACAGCAAATCTACAGCATGGAAAATGGCACTCACAGTGAGGAATTTCACATTACCCCTTTGAAGCCAGTTTGAAGTCATTTTTGATCCGTGATGGAGTAAACCGGTATAGGGCTGCCATTTCACACATGGCTTTCCCCTACCGGTAAACAGCTGGATCTGAAGCAGTTTGCCATTTCAGACTGCACTGCTTTTTCCTGCCGTTTTTCGCCCGCACGGGTGATCTCCGGCTTTTTTAAAAAAACGTTCGCTTTAAAGCGCTATAACACAACGCTCCAGGCATTCCAATGGGGTTGCTATAACACTGTTGTGCTATAACGCTCTAAAGCAAACGTTAAAAAAAAAACCCGGAGATCGCCCGTGCGGGTGAAAAACAGCGGGAAAAAGCATTTCTGATCCGGGAGAAGAAACTGAAGACTACGTGGAAGTGGTTTACAGGTAAAACGGTTCAGCCCCGTTTCCTGAACGGGACAGAAGCATTGGTGTGTGAAAGTACAAATATATTCCGGTAGGGAACTGGTTCTAAAACAGTTCTGTCTGAAATGTCAGACCAGAAACCATTCGGGAACCATTCCTAAACCAGAATATATCACCTGTCTGAAATTCTTCAGTGTCATCCTAAGCAGAGTTACACCTTTCAAAATCCACTGGCTCCAACGGACGTAGAAGGGTGTAAACTCTGCTTAACACTAGTTCAATGCAGCTCACTAAAGGCCACCTACATAAATAGACAAGCCACATTGTAAAATCCAAAAAACCAAGAACATAATCCATGTAATAGTTTTTATTAAGACCAACCCCAAAGACACTTGTTATTTTCACATATAGCTCATTTTTCTCACTGGGACACAAGACAAGTTACAACTATGATTTTAAAAAGACTTTCAGTCACTCTGTAAATGGCGATCATAAACGGTGATCAAAAAATATGATCACAAGTCAGCAGATTACAATGATATGATAACATCTGAATATAACTGCTAGTTATATTCCTCCTCCTAGTAAAACGAAATAATGCATTTGGAGTGGGGTTGTAGAACAAAATAAAAAAGGACACATATTAGTGTATGCCCTTTTGAGTCCCCCCAGAAGTCTTCACCAGTCCAGATGCTGCACACTGTTAAGTGTCAACAGGTCAGCCCTAATAAAAGGCATTACATGGATTGTGTTCTTGTCATCCACATAAATGCCCAAGGATCTGTATTGTAAAATAATCCTTTCTAAACCAGAAAGGCTATTCAAGCTGGTGGGCTTGACAGCCGCACAGACTCATGACCTTGCTCTGCTTTCTGCATCAGTGCATTAGGTGTAATGCTTACTCTGTCCTTGGAACTAGCTCTGTCTCAGCTAGGTGTAATGCTTACTCTGTCCTTGGAACTTGTGCTGGTGAAACAGCCACGGGCTGTGCTCTTGAGCCAACATTCCTTCTGAGCATTTAAATAAGAGGGCTAATCAGTGCAAGAAGGGCATCAATGCCTTTAAAAGGCAGCGGAGGGACTGCTTGAGCACCCCTATGATTGCAACACAGGCACAGTGATGAGATGGTGATGGAGAACATAGGGAGACTAGAAAGACGGTGGAGGTTTGGAGCCGATGAAAAGTGGAACAGAGCTTGGTGACTGCCCACTTGTCTCGAACAGGATGCTCATCCAAGCTTCTGCAGCACATAAACCTGCTATCTGATACAGCCTCCTACAATCAAGGACCAGGGGGAAGGAGTGACGGGAAGAGGCCACTCAAATGAACACTGTAATAGCTGTAGCAGTCTCTTGAGATGTTAACACTAGGTGTCCACATGTTTCACCGAGGACAGTTCTGGAACAAAAAGGAGGAAATAAAAACATATCATTTTGCTCCCAGCTACGCAGGCAGTGGCTGACATTCTGTGGATGCATCCGCTCGCTCTGTATTCCCGGGTGAACTGAGACAGTTGGACAGTTCCAGACCCTCCCGTGTTTTCTTTCATTGTTGTCCAAGTGATTGGTAGATGTACGCATCAGACACGGGAGAAAGTCTGAGTCACTGGAGAAGGTAACGTAATAGTCTGCTTGGTGGTAGATAAAAGTCGAACCCCATCGGCCAGCGTCCTTTTAGCTAGGGCAGCTTGTTGTGATGTATGTATCGCTGCGCTGTACAGATAAGAACCAAATAACAGGTTAGGGGAAAGCAGTGGAGAGAGAAAAGAAAACCCCAATTACAACTGAAATACTGTAATAGCAGAAGGGCAAAGCTATAACCTCCCAGTACCCAAAACTGCAGATGCTGTCACTGGGGTTTATCCAGCCCTCCAGTCCTTCCAACATGATGGCATTTCTGCTTGCTGATGAGGGGACAATGGTTTCTGCCAATTCGCCCCCTCCACTGCAGACTCTCACTTTTCCCCCTATGCTGTACTCAAAGGTCTGCCGACCCCTCCTCTCCCCAAACAAACATTTGAGGGGGAGGGCTCAGGAAGTTGCAGCAGAATAAACCCCAATGTTTATTGGAGAACTGATGTTAGGTGCTCTTAGATTAAAAAATATCATTGTGTCAAACGATCCCTGTAAATAATTCATGCAGACTCAGGGGTAGGTGCTATAAAATAACACCACATAGATAAAAAATATCATCGTGTACAAACGATCCCTGTAAATAATTCATGCAGAGAATACAAGTATCAACACATCTCACTAAAATCTGAATTAAGCAAGAAAAACACAAACCGTATTTACAAATAATCCCATTTTAAAAAGGGGGGGAGTCCCTATTAATGCACGCTCAAGGGTTCAGCATAGATCTATCATCCTGAAAAACATAATTCTAAACAGCACATATATCATCCTAAAAAAGTGTCAAAGTTCTAAACAGCACATATATACATACACACAAGAGAACAAGGTGGTAGGGTTCTGAGGAACTATATGACCCTGCTTCAGGATGGAGGTGGATGAACTAGATTTTTAAACCCCCCCCCCCCCCCCAAAAAAAAGAAAAAAAAAACAAGGGGGGGGGGGGGTTTTGACGCCTAGTTGTTTGTCTTTCCAATGACTGGAGTGCTGAAAGGCCTCAGCTGAAGAAGTTTTTGTCTGGTGCGGGCACTTCCTTTATGGAAATCTCTTTTGGAGGAGGTTAGCCCCCAGACCATCTATCTTTGAATACGGTTAAATGAGGCTTAAATGATAAGTCATCAAGTGGTAAAAATGGATTGAGGAGCATGTGGATATACCCCTTAAATTACCCCTTAAATGTTATAATGTCTTCTGAAACTGCGGGTTGGGACCACTGTTCCCTCTAAGCTGAGTTAGTGTGAGCTAGCTCACAGTTCTTTAGCCTCCGGCCCACACACTTTTTTCTTTTTTGCTCAGAACGATGGCTCCAAGAAAACTAATTTATGCAGCAGCCAAATCACTTGCTCACAACTTTAATGCCAGTGGCTCACAAAGTAGAATGTTTGCTCACAAGATTCCACAGCTTAGTGGGTCACAATTCTCTCACAGTTTCAGGTGGGTTGTAATTCCAGAGTGGATGATGAGGAAGGGGCTGAGTTGGGAGGACACAGTGTTGGGCAGGTTGGTAGCAAATTTGAGTTAGCCTCTGCATACTGTACCAAATAGAACTGAAATATACCCTGCACCTCAGTAACACTATGTAAGTACTAAACGTGAAAAAAAAATATAAACTTGAACACTGCTATCTCTTTCTCTGTTTTATTGTAGGGAAACACAGCGTAGCATGAAGTTACTTGGCAAGCAGGTGCTGAAAAGTGCAGTAAGTCTGAAAGAGGGTACCATTTCAAAAGGTTTGAGGCCCACTGTTTCACTAGATTTTACTGGAATCACGCAATGTTCCCTCTAAGCTGTGGAGTCTTCTGAGCAAAAATCCTACTTTGTGAGCAAACTGGCATTAAAGTTGTGAGCGAGCGATTTGGCTGCTGCATAAATTAGTTTGCTCTGGAGCCCTCCTTCCTGAGCTCAGACAAAAATCTGTGAGCCGGAGGTTAAAAAACTGTGAGCTGGCTCACACTAACTCAGCTTAGAGGGAACACTGCAGTGGAGTGTGAGTGGCCAATCAGTGGCATGAAAGTCACCAGAGGCAACAGGCAGTGTGAGGTTGGGGCAGGCTTACATGGGAGAAAGCAAATCCATGGGTCTGTCTCTGACACAGAAACAAGAGCTGCAGTCCGGCCTCCTACTCCGTAGTGTTCTTCTGCTCTCCAGCTGAGTAGACCAGAAACAAAGCCCACCCTAGGCATATGCACTGTAGTGGCACTCTAGATTTGATCTGTGGCACCCTTGCCAAAAAGAATGCCCACTCTCGAACCGGATAATGTGCATAGGAGCTCAGTCATTTAGCGTTCCTATATTTTCTAATGGGCCACTTAGATGGTCCCATTCTGTTGAACAACCATGCAAACTGAGTTGTCAAGAGAAAGAAGCACCTGACCTCATCTGGGCCACCTTCTTGGAGAACCAACATGGCGTAGGGGTTACAGTGTTGGACCTCTAGGACTGTGAAGACCATGGTTCAAACCTCCTGTTGAGCCTTGAAGTGTACTGGGTGACCTTGTGACAATCACTGACTGCAGTACTAGGAACACTTCCTGGGGAGTAAAAAGGTAAAGGTTCCCTTGCTCGAAAGCCAGTCAAAGCCTACTCTAGGGTTGCGGTGCTCATCTCTGTTTCAAAGCCGAAGAGCCAGCGCTGTCCAAAGACGTTTCCGTGGTCATGTGGCCGGCATGACTAAACACCAAGGCGCACGGAACGCTGTTACCTTCCCACCAAAGTGGTACCTATTTATCTACTTGCAATTTCTTGCTTTCGAACTGCTAGGTTGGCAGGAGCTGGAACTAGAGACGGGAGCTCACTCCATCTTGCGGCACCCAGGTCTCGAACTGCTGAACTACTGACCTTCCACAGCCTGCAGTTCAGCGTCTTAACCACTTGAGCCACCGCAGCTCCCTCCCAGGGAGTAAGCCCCACTAAATAAAATGGGGACCTATTTCTGTGTAGAACTGCTTTGGATTGCTCCCGTTATCCCTTAGCCTGACCTACCTCACTATGTTGTTGTGAGGATAAAATGGAGAAGAAGATACACATGTACACTGATCCTCAGAGAAAAGGCAGGATAAAAATGTGTTAGGCAGATTTTCAGCATATACTTCGGGCCAACCAACTAACCAGAACCAGAACTCCTTGACAAAAACAACATACTGTCTAGTTAAAACAAAAACGAAATTTTACTGCTAATAGGATGCAGGCAGGGAAATCAAAGGTGCAAAGCTTTTCCTCTCCCTCCACTGGTTTCTAAATACTTCCTTCATGCTCAATGCACCAGTCACTTATCTTCTCTACCAAGTAAAGCCTTGTCCTGTCTTGAACCACAGTTAAGTTTATTCATCAAATAGTCTTTTGGTACCTCAGAGCAAGACTTATTTTTCAGCCTTCAGGGTTTCATATTTTTATGTTTTATATTTTAATGACCATACTTTCTAATTATTGCTACCACATAACCTAATCCTAAACTCTTCAGTTGTTTGTCATTTCTTTAAAGCCATAATAAGAGTGTTGTAGTGTTTGGAGGAACGGTGATTGTCATCACAGCGAAAAGCCAACTTCTGTCATTCACCTAAATAACCTTTATACTTCTACTTAGAATTACTGAGAGTCATCTGCAATAAATAACTGACAAAAACACTATGTGCCACAATGAAATTTCTCGGCACCCTGACATCTGGGTCTGTCAAGCCCTGCCGTAAGACTAACTTATTTATTGTGGCATAAGCTTTGGTGGATCAGAAGCAACCTCATTGGATATCAAGGATGTATGATAAAACAGGCTTTGGCCCAGAAAATTTAATTCATTTAGGAAATATTTATCCCATTATTCTGCTAAGAGGCCTTCAAAGAGGTGACAGTATATGCCACAATAAATAGGTTAGTCTTTTAAGACACCACAAAGCTCTTCATTGTCTTGGATGCAACTGACGAACTTGGCTACCCTTCTGGAATTTATCAAGGATACTGAACTAAACAATTTGTATTTTAAAAGAAAAACAAATAACAACCCTTAAAATGTATTACTCCAAAGTTTTTACCCACTTGATGGTTTTATATTATGTTACATTTATTGTGTCATATACTGCCAGGAGGAAACTCGTGTTGCTTTTTGGGTCAATTAACATTAAAAGTACAATGCCACTTTTTGGAAGTCTGCTTTGGAATTTGGATCATGAGAACCTAATTAAAACATTTTTCAAAAATAACAAATAATCCTCTTTCTTCCCAGTCTCAACAAAGGTCTGTCTCACACTATGGTATTTCAAATACCAAATGAGCAGCTTAAAATGATGAGCTGTCCATAATTCCCAAGTAAAATCAATGCTTCTCAAGTCAAATGTGAGAAAGAGAATGGAAATGGAGTCTCCATCTACATATTCCTTTGTTGCATATGTATTAACAGAATTATGTGAAGACATATTTAAGTCTTCAGATAATTTTTAAATATTCTTATTCATGAAAATAAAACACTGTTTCTCTTTCACATCTCTCAGACAGAAGCTTCCATAAAGTTGAAAAAATAAGTAATTTTCAAGAGGGCTGTTGCTATCAAACATTGTTCGACAGCAGTCATTGTTCTGGACATGTTTAGCATGGTCAACTTGAACCCCCTCTGTAATGGGTGGCTACTGGATAGCATCAGTAATGTGACCCAGTGTTCCCTCTAAGCTGAATTAATGTGAGCTAGCTCACAGTTTTTTAGCCTCCGGCTCACACATATTCGTCTTAGCTCAGGAAAGATGGTTCCAGAGCAAACTAATTTATACAGTAGCCAAATAGCTCGCTCACAATACAAGAACTCGTGGGCACTCCATGAAATTGCTGAGCGGTCGGGTTAGAACGGATAAAAGGAAGTACTTCTTCACCCAAAGAGTGATTAACACTTGGAATTCACTGCCACAGGAAGTGGTGGCGGCTACAAGCATGGACGGCTTCAAAAGGGAATTAGATAAGCATATGGAGCAGAGGTCCATCAGTGGCTATTAGCCACAAGGTATAGATAGGGACTCTGGGGCAAGTGATGCTCTGTCATCTTGGTGCTTGGGGGGGTCAACAGTGGGAGGGCTTCTAATGTCCTGGCCCCACTGGTGGACCTCCTGATGGCACTGGTATTTCTGGCCACTGTGTGACACAGAGTGTTGGACTGGATGGGCCTTTGGCCTGATCCAACATTGGCGTCTCTTATGTTCTTATGTTCACAACTTTAATGCCAGTAGCTCACAAAGCAGAATTTTTGCTCACCAGACTCCACAGCTTAGAGGGATCATTGGTAACGTCACCATCACATATCCTCCCCCACCACGCAGCCAATCGCTAGCATTACTTTTAAAAAGTCTGCAACAATTTTTACTAAGATCAAGGTAGATGTAAATATAGTTTTGCTACTTTAATTAAAAAAGACAGACAAAGTGTGGGACCAGATTGTGAGCTAGCAGAATTCAGCATTCAGCTCGATCGTGCTGCATGTCTGTAACAGAAGCTGCAAGCTGGGCTCACACTGTAGGTGAAGCGCTCACTGTGACTGTCCTCTGAGTTCTACAGCTGTCTTTCCTTGTGTTTATCACATCGCCCAACTCTAGCCGAAAGATGAAAACATCTGGAGTTAACACTTAGCATTACGTACCGTGCTGCGAAGAATGACAATAACAGGACGGAGCAAAGAACAGCAACTGACCCTAATGTAACAGCAGTCACATGCTGTGGCTTGGATGATACATCTGAAAGAGGGGGGGAAAACGAATAACTAAAGTGGACAGCGACCAAATGATTCTCATCAGTCTTGTGATTCATCGTCTGGAGATGAGTGAAATTAAAAATACTGTGGCAAAACTCAGAACACAGATTTACCGCTTCATCAGGCAGCAACAGAACTGACCAGACAACAAATAGCCAGTGACCCATTAAAGAAATTATATTAACAATGGGCTGGATCTGCCTCCCCTTCTTGCTACAGCCTTGTGTGACCCCAAAAAGCAACTCTCGAGGGCACAATGAGAAGTTACATTTTCCCTGGGTGTGTACAAGCAGACGTGTGCTGCAAGTTCCATGCTGGGAAGTTAACTTCTAATTTGGACCAGGACCACAGTGCGCCGGGGGGGGGGGGTGCTTTTGCCTCTCTTCACCTGAAATTGCCCCAGGGTGCTGCCATTTGCACTGTTGGGAAAATTTAGGTATACCCCATCAGTACAAATAACTAGTATAATTTGTATAAATAATTTGTATAAATAACTACTATAGTTTGCTGCTTTAATGCGCAGATATGTCCTTAAGTGCAAGGTGAGTCACGATTAATCTCTCCACCCTATAAAGCATTCAATCAACTGAAGAACCTTAAAACCTCTCTGTGGTGAGAGGGAGACTGAATGAGTAGGAGGTGACCACAGGGCTTTAAGGATGCACAAAGAGCCTTGCTGGGTCAGACCAGTGGTCCTTCTAGTCCAGAATCCTATCTCACCTTGTGGTGTTGCCTCCTGGCGCTGGTATTCAGAGGTTTATTGCCTCTGAACGTGGAGGTTTCCTTTAGTCACCATAACTAGTAAAAGGTAAAGGTAAAGGTTCCCTTGCTCGAAAGCCAGTCGAATCCAACTCTAGGGTTGCGGTGCTCATCTCCGTTTCAAACCCGAAGAGCCAGCGCTGTCCGAAGACGTTTCCGTGGTCATGTGGCCGGCATGACTAAACACCAAGGCGCACGGAACGCTGTTACCTTCCCACCGAAGTGGTCCCTATTTATCTACTTGCAATTTCTTGCTTTCGAACTGCTAGGTTGGCAGGAGCTGGAACTAGAGACGGGAGCTCACTCCATCATGCGGGTCTCGAACTGCTGAACTACTGACCTTCCACAGCCTGCAGTTCAGCGTCTTAACCACTTGAGCCGCCTCAGCTCCTCCATAACTAGTAGCCACGGATAAACCTAGCCTCCATAAATCTGTCTAATCCCATTTAAAGCCCTTTATGCCTGTGGCCGTCACTACATCGTCTGGTAGCAAATTCCACATTTTAATCCAGAAGCAACAAGCTTTATACAAGGTTTGCTCCAGAAAGGAAAGCAGACCTAGCACTCTCTCCAGAGTACTTGTTCACTGAAGGTGAATAGTTTAATGGGCTGGTGGGGGGGGACACATTAGTAAATAAATCCCCCCCGTCTTGCAACAGAGGTTCAGAGTAGGTGGACAGCTGTTATTGCCTAACTCTACAATGTAGTGGTGGTGGGGGGACTAGTAATAAAACATCAAGATTAAAATCTGAACAAATGTCTGATAAGGACAAAATTACAATATACTTCTGGACAGAAAAGATGCAAATCTCTCCCGAGGCAAAATATAGTACAATTTATTTGGAAAACAACAACAAATGCCATCTGCATGAAAACCAGAGTTTAACATAAGCACTGAGCTCCCAGACTTGTAAGTGAGGCTGAGCTTGCTAATGATGCCTATTTGTAGTAATGGGGAATGAAAGCTGATAAAAATGAAAAGATGCCTGAAAATCTGGTTTCTCTTGGATACCCAAAAAAAAAGCAGGGCTGCATGATGCAGTGTGGGCAGATGTAGCATGTTTTTTTCTTTCCGTCGAATCTGTCTCTGGGAAGAAGCCTTTTGGCCAAGAAACAGTGCTGGCATGCAACACTAACAGGGTAAATGCCAAACTGCAAGCACCATATCCGTGTCTGCCCAAAAATATTCTGCCTCTGTCAATATTTTCAAAAATAAATAAAAATGGGAAAAGACCAGTAACCAATCAGTGTGTTTTCTCGCTAGTGTTCTGAGAACACCTGAAAGTGGCTGACGGCTAAATTGTACATTACAGGTCTAGGTGTTCCCCAGTTGCCCCGCTCCTTTTCAAGTGCCAAAGCAGCCCTCCCCACGGCTGCTTTGGCACTTGAAAAGGCATGGGGGGGGGCGGCAGAAAAGCACCCAGCCCTGCAGTTCTGTGGGTCCGATGGGCCCTTAAGGCATTTTTAAATGCCCTGAGTTCAGATCTAAAATAGTGGCAGCATACATCGGTTAGGGGGAGCTGCGGTGGCTCAAGTGGTTAAGATGCTGAACTGCAGGCTGTGGAAGGTCGGTAGTTCAGCAGTTCGAGACCAAAGTGCCGCATGACGGAGTGAGCTCCCATCTCTGGTTCCAGCTCCTGCTAACCTAGCAGTTTGAAAGCAAGAAATTGCAAGTAGATAAATAGGTACCACTTCAGTGGGAAGGGAACAGCGTTCCGTGCGCCTTGGTGTTTAGTCATGCTGGCCACATGACCACGGAAACGTCTTCGGACAGCGCTGGCTCTTCGGCTTTGAAACGGAGATGAGCACCGCAACCCTAGAGTCGGAGTCGACTGGCTTTCAAGCAAGGGAACCTTTACCTTTACTTTACATCGGTTAGACCACTGTGACTCAGTGATAGAGTATCTGCCTGGCATGCACAAGGTCCCAGGTTCAACCCCCGGAATCTCCAGTTAAAAGGACCAGGCAGGAGGTGATGTGAAAGGCCTTGACCTGAGACCCTGGAGAGCCACTGTCAGTCTGAGTAGACAAAAGTGACCCTGAGGGACTGATGGTCTGATTCAGTGTATGGCAGCTTCATGTGTGTTCATGTGACACTGAAATGCCTAGTTTGGCCACAGGGAATGGCAGCAACCTCAAAAAAGAGGAAAGCTGATTCCACCTCCTTCTCCTGAGGTTTACTGTCCATGCCCCCATTCTCAGAAAACTGAGAAGGCTTTACACTTTGTGGACCTCAGTTTGAATGTGGACCTAATCACACAACACACTTTCTCTGGATAGATCCCTGGATCATGTTGACAGATATGTTCTGGGAGTTCAATGTTTCCTAGGTGCATGGAGGCCCAATTCCTATCAGGACCATGATATACAAGGAAAGAGGGCTTAACCTTTCCCACACAGTTTTCCAGACCCAAAACAGCCCAGGGGAACTGCTATTTGCTCCACTTGGGAAATGTAACTGTACAAATACTGGTTCCCTGGTGCAAATTCAAGTCACATAAATTGAGCAGGTGGGAAACTGAAGCCCCCGTTCCTTGCACACCCTGCTGCCAAAATAAACTGGGTCTATATGTGTTTGAGAAGCACAAAATTCCCTAACCATGGTCCTAATCCATCCATATTAAGAAAACTTAAACGCTTGGAAGTTTTCTTAAGAAGGGTGTGGCAATTTTTACTAATTCCCCCCTTCCACTGTAGACCCTTTGCTCTGTTTTTTTCCTGAGGGTCCACTGACCTTCAGGAAAAAAAACTGGGGGGGGAGAGAGGCCGGGCTCAATGAGGTGCAGCTAGAGCGGGGACTTAACAAAAAATTGCTGCCACTTCTCAAGAAAATTTAAGGGCACTTATGATTTCTCAACTTTGTGGCTGGATACAGGCCTATGCTTGACAACAGCCAGTGTGGTGTTGGACTAGAATCTGGGGAGCTAGATTCAAATCCCCACTCTGCTACAGAAGCTTGTTGGGTGACCTTGGGCCAGTCACACACTCTCAGCTTAGCCTACTGGTACATCACAAGGTTATTCTGAGGATAAATAAACCTGACCCAGGAAGAAGAAGAAGAAGAGGAGATTGGATTTATACCCCGCCCTTCACTACCCAAAGGTGTCTCAGAGCATCTTACAAACTCCCTTCCCCTCCCCACAACAGACACCCTGTGAGGTAGGTGGGGCTGAGAGAGCTCTGACGGAAACTGCTCTTTTTCGAGAACTTATCAGAACTACGGCTTGCCCAAGGTCATCCAGCCAGGTGCAAGTGGAGGAGTGGGGAATCAAACCCAGTTCTGCGCACTTAACCACTACACCAAACTGGCTCTCAAATGTGCACTGTGTAGTTAGGTGCTGAGGGATGCTGATCTAGATTGTTTTTCAACAACCTAGGTTGTTTTTCCACACATCCAAAGAACCACACAAGTATTTTCATACTTAGGGAGGTTTAGAACTCGTGTTTCTCAGTCATCAATTCTTTTTGGCACATGGCAAACGTCTTCTGAAACGGAGGGCAGTTTTAAAAGCAGCTTGTGATAAGGCATTGGGTGGGAAGTTACTGTACAAATGGAAAATTATTTTAAGTGTCCCACTGGGCAAGCTTGAGCATTTCATAAACACTGAAAGTCCCAAGAGCCTAGCTATGTGATAGATGTGACGTAAGCCAGGTCAGTGATCCCATGACCTGACTCGCAGTCACACATACCATCAGGGGATATACAAACTGCTCTGTTGCTCAGTGAGACTCCAAGTGCGGAAAGTGGGGCGAAAGGGCTTCTGCCTTCTCTCCTGTGCCATTTTCCCTAATGGAAACAGCCAAAGGGAGGCCTGGTTTGTCCCTTTCTTGGGATCCCAGGATGCATGGAGCCCAAGAAAGGGGCAAACAGGCACCAGGGCAGCTGTTTCTGCTACAGAAGAGAGTGTGGGAGAGAAGGCAGAATCCCCTTCTGCCTTTTTTCAGCACTTGGAGCTGCACCATGTGATGGAGTAGTTTGTTAGGTGAGTCCCCCAGTGGTATGTGGGACTGTGAGTTGGGTTAGGGTTCCTGTCACATTTACCGTATAGCTAGGTCCTAAGAGTGTTGTGTTGTTGATTTAGTAACTCAGTCAAACACACTAGCTATGCTATCATCATGAACATTAGTATAGTTCCTTACAATTTGTTCTGGTTTTTCCCCCATTCATCACATTTCCAGCTCTGCCTCGTTTGTGGTGCAATGTAGGAATCAATTAAAAGCCACACAGTCTATTATTTTTATAGCAGGATGTAGCTAGCAATGCCATTTTCCCAATAAACTTGAGAAACAACAACACCACGTACCTCTAATTTGGGCCCAGGCGATGCAGGATTGTGTTCTCACCTGAGAAACAAAAAATAAACAATCTGAGGCACTGTTTTCCTAAAAGGCTGTTTCTCACTGGCTTGCATCCTTCAGACTGAAGGAAGGGCCTTATAGGACTGAATATGTCATCATACAAGAGAAATCCCCGAACAGACAAAACTAGTTATGTCAGGGAGAAAGCTAGATTAGAACCCTTCTCCCTGCCATCTAGATTTTGTTGCGGAGGGAACTTCTGAGTGAAGGCGCATTCTCTCATGCGAGCCTCCAGCCTGCAATGAAGAGTGGTACAGCCACACAGGTGCAGCACCTCAAGCCAAAATACGCATTCCACACATTCCACTAAATAAACATCAGGAAATCAGATCCTAGTTCTGCATAAAGTTATTGCTGTGTAAATTTGGCCCTCAGAGAAATGTTTCCTCGCTGGAAATTATTGTGACCATCTGTCTTTTGCTGCAACTTATTAAGGGCCGCTCAAGCCCCATGTATTCAACAGGCTGAGCTACAACCTGTTTTCTCTTTCACAGTTGATGCACTAAAGGTAAAAAGAGATGAGACATTGGGAGATCCAGGACCAGACTGTAGCCAGTGTTATACAAATGTTCAGCGGGGAGGCCTGATTTGGCTTGGGGCTGCAGCAGAGAAAGATAGAGTTTAACTTTTCGTATCTCACAGTTTCCACAATCAAAACAAATCATCATCCACTGCACTGTTATTTGCTCTCAGTAGAAAAAATGAGACAAGTGCCAGTCTTTTTCCTTTTCTTGGGGAAAACTTCATATTCAAACATTGTTGAGCAATTCATGATCTCAGTCTCCTTTGGTATGACCCTAAACATGATAATGATGCACAGTGCTAAGTACGATGGCAGGATCCAAAGTGCTACTACCTTCACCTGTACCTGAGAGCTTGGGTTTGCCCGAGGTTCCCCCCCCCCTTCTCAAATTTGTTTCCTTTGAAATGTCAGACTCCTTGGCATATCACAAGCTATTCTGGAAATTCTCCTAACTGTCAAATGGGATATATTATATATGGAAGGCTGCTTAAAAAGAACACAACCAGGAACTCCTTTGGACATCCGGAACTAATTATGCTAATCTTTGGATCCAGGCCACTGCAAACATCCATGCTTTGCAGGCACGTACTGGAAGGATCTTATTTTCAAGGAATTCAACGAGATTGTTTTGATCTTTCTGCTCCCTTCTGTGAACTGGAATGGAAGATTCTCTCACTTTGTCGATGGGAACCTCAGGATCCATCTAACCCCCAGTCACTGAATGAAAATTTTAGTTTCAGCTAGTATCTTCACTTTTTTTCTTCTTTATTAAAGGAAATAAAAGCCTTTTTGTTGGTCAGTCGCACAGTCGAGTTCGAATAAAAGACTACAACTACATAAAACCCTAGCTGGATATAAGATGCGGGGAACTAGAAGTAAGCATGGATTAAGTTAGTTTTGATGGGCAAAACTGCATGGGAGGGAGTGGGTTATGCCCTGCTTTAGCACAGATGCGCACTATTTCTGAAAACAAGTGCAAAACTATTAAAATTTAGGACTCCAAAGGCTAATATGATTTGGGGAAAATGGTATTTGAAGCTTCTTATGCTGATGAACAAAAAGAAGTGCTGGAAGTGTTGAGCAACTACAATTGCCTACATTTTGTTCTAACTCGTAGCATTCATGCTCTCCCGTCTCATTCAGGCCACACTTCTAAAGAGATATCCCCTGTAGGAAAGAAAAACTGTACGCATCATTGATTTTATTTGCAGAAAGCATTTCATCACCCAGAATGGTCTGCAAAACAAATAGTTCAGCCTGAAGGAGTTATACTTGGGTGGACTAAGAAGAACTCTTATCTTAAAAGCTGCTCTGTATGCTAGCTACTATTTTAAAAACATGGTTCATGTTTTTTAAATACTTGTTTAGAGAATCAGTGTGGCCTCTTGCACAGAATGAACACAATGTGCTCCTTGTCAAAAATTGTTTGAAGCACTTTAATTGAAAATTAAAGTCTTTTGTAGCACTTTTAACTGAAAATCCCAAGCACTTTAATTGAAAATGAAAGTCTTTGTGATGGGAGGCAGTGCGCAGCCACACTATTCTATTCCACAAAAAGGAACTCTAATTGAATTTCAGTCATTGTGCTGAATGACACAAAATGTTTCAGTATGCACAGAAGAATTTTCCAGTTTGTATTTTGAATGCTAGACCACCATGACATATCACAAATTGTTTTTGGAACTTGCCTCAGTTTCAAATTTGTCATGTGACGAGGCAGAACTGGAATTCAAGTCCAAAGGACCCTTGAACATGAGGAACTAGTTACACAGCATTCTGAGTTCAGACTTATGAAATAAGGAACAGGTTAAATAGAAGAATGGATTGGAGAATATAGTGATTTGGTGTTCAACGGCTACAGCCAGATCAGGCTTCACACAGCACATTTTTTTAACATCCAGCAGTTCAGAGATTGTTCCCAGCTGTGTGCTTACCTGAACAAACAATTAGGAATGTGTCTATTTTCCCCATTAGTATTTCCTTCCTGGATTCTGAGATTTACAGTCATCTATCTTGATGCTGGATCAGTAGCAATGCTTTAGTGAGCTGTTATTCTTCATTTTTCAGACTGCTACAGGTATACAACTAGTCACAGTTTGCAATCTGTGATGCACGCCATCCAGCATGTATACACATTGATCTTTTTTGCAACCCTAAACACAAGCCCGTTGACTCCAACTCAGTTAAAAGGGTCTAACTCTTCTTCAGATTGCAATGTAAATCATAAAGCAAGGGAAAAAACTTGACACGATCACATAGGTACATTAAGATTTGGTTTTTTCTCCTGTTAATTAATTAATGAGCTCATGTGCTGGTACACAACAAAACCTATTTAAAATAAATAGAAAAACATGATCTGACAGCTACAGCAAAACTGCACATGTGCCGGTTCTAAAATTCATGTTAAGAATTCTCTGAATGAAACCAGCAGGCAGATGGAGGGCAGCAAAGCCATGGAAAACACAATACCTAAACAGAGCCAGTGCGGCATAGTGGTCAGAGTATCAGACTAAGATCTGGGAGAACCAGGTTCAAATCCCCACTCTGCCATGGAAGCTCTCTGGGTGACTTTGGAGCCAGTCACACTCTCTTAGCCTAACCTACCTCACAGGGTTATTGTTGCTGTGAGGATAAAATGGAGGACAGGAGAATTGTGTAAACCACAGGTCCCCATTAGGGGGAAGGGTGGGGTATAAATGAAGTAAATAAATAAATCGTTTGTGAACCAGCCAATTACAGTATTCCAAATGAACTTTCGAAAACAACATAGTCTCAACTTATGGTGTGAAACCATGAACACTTTTTTCCTAGGACTACAGAGTATCAAGGGATCCAAAATACAAGAGTCCCAGGAGCAATTCAAAAGAGAGTTGGGAGGTATTAGTATGGTGATACTAGGGACAAAAAATACTGGGGGGCCCAAGTGGAGTCAGTTCAGAGCCAACCTGTTGTATGAATAATCTATCTTGGCTGCGGTCACACGGAGCATTAGGCACGCTAGAGAGACGGAAGATAGGCGGATTTTCCGGGCGAGATCTCACCGCCACATCTGGGAAGCGTAGCACTCCTGTGGCTCACGCGAGGCTTCACTCCGAAGATGCGCTGTAAAAAACTAGTACCTTCGAGGTACTAGTTTCTGAAAACCGCGGGGCATGGGTGGGCGTCTGATCGCGTTTCCGGTGGTAGTTCCAGCGCCCGCCCATGTCCCCTCGCAAAAAGGGTTTTTTTTCCAAGTCTCCACGGATGCGCACAAGCACCCAATGGAGCATGCGCACCCTTTAGTTTAACAAAAAAAACCCACAACCCCGTTTGCCCCGCGGCCCCGCTTCTTTGCAGTGCCGTAGGAGTGTCCTGTGATTGGCACCTCCCCCTAACCACGGGACCTCCACGGGACATCTGCTCGTGCAACCGCACGTTATTTTGCCCCGGGGCAAACAGCCACGCTTCCCCCCCGCATTTTCCAGCCCGTATGATCAGGGCCGTTGTAGCCTTTCCTTTCCCAGCCCAGCATCTGCAGCAAGAAATGCTGGTACAAGCCTTTAAGAAACTGAAACAATAGTCTTGGAATGAAGCAAGCAAATTCAGTGGAAAGAACCAGATAATTGCCACCCACTGGCCCCGGTCACATGGGCCAGATAACGTGGGGAGGAGGCGTGGCTTTTTGCGCCGGCGCAATTTAACACTCCAGAACACGATCAGACGCGACGGCAGCAAATCGGGTATTGTTTGTCGGCGCGCGTTTCCGGTGCACGTCAACGCAGCAAGAGGAGCATGCTTGAGCAATCACACGTAGGTATTCCGTCGACGGCCCGGAGCAAACCGTTTGCTAGTAGGCTTTCCTGGTTTTTTTTTTACTCCAGATCTTCGGGCGGATGCTACAGGTCGGCGACGGGTATGCTACGCTTGCCAGACGTGTCCTTGTGATCGCGTCCGTATACTCCGCCCAACATTCATGCCTCTCCCGTGGCAAATCCTCCGTGTGACCGGGGCCACTGTTAGACAAATCTTCACATCTGTAAACTCAGCCAATGAACAGGATTTCACTTTCAGTTTTTATTTTGTTAATCTTATTTCAGCGTATAATGATGTGTGTGCCTGGATGCATGTGATGGAGATTTCCAAAAGAGCTATTAAGGGTCAACCATGCGAACAGGGTGGCTGACTTTAGAAGAATTAGAAAAACCTGACATTTGAACAAATGAGCGTTCTGTTTTAACCTGGGGTCTAAACTGTGCCATCCTGAGCAGAGTTACACTCTTCTAAAATAGTTGAAGTCTATGGGCTTAAGAAAGGTGTTACTCTTTTTAGGACTGCACCGATCGGAGAAAGATGGTTTTTCGCCACTCGTTACTACAGCACCCTGTCATGTGGCACGTTTTGCTTATGAGATGCTCACAATCTTTAGAGGACTTTTGGGACAAATGGCAGGGTGCTTGGGGAAGGCAGAGGAAGACTGCTTCTGTGAACTCTTCCGCTGGATCCAACTCTTAATCTTGGACTGGTTTTAGAATTAAGACCAGGGTAAAAGTTATCTACTACTGTTCATTTGAAAAGACAGTTCAGGCTAAGGTTAATGCTCTTAATGCAGAACATCTTACAAAAACACAAAAAAATAAAAGGACATTATTTTGCAACAATGCCCCTCCCCATCAATCAGTTGTTCCATTCCATCAAATGATGGGTGAAGACTGAGACACAGTGGGTCTCCTCAACCATTGAATGAAGCAGATTTCTGTTAGCTCTGCAACTTAGCAGACATGCATGGGAATGAATGGAACACTGGCTCAGCTATCAGTTTTGCCCGTCTCCCATGATCCAAGTAGGGTGACTGCCTTTTAAAAATTGTAAAAGTGTTGCATGTTGCATATGTATACCTCCGGCTTATTAATTTTTAAACCACTTTTTAATGGAGCAAACTGCTCCAAGCACTGATGGTAGTAAAAGGTTTTGGGTGACATATCAGATGCCACGCTAGGCTGTGGCATGTGTAGCTGACTTCCTCTGCAAAAGAGATCAATGCCAATAGGAAGGGTGCTCTTTCAAAGGTGCCCTGCTTCTTCATCAACGTTACATCAGTCTTCACCCAAAGTGTTTTCCATGTAGTTTGAAAGCTTAGAGATGCTTGCACTACACAGAACTGATCCAAAAATATGTCCATATAGGCCCCGGTCACACGGGCCAGATAACGCGGGGGTGAGGCGTGGCTATTTGCCCCGGAGCAAAATAAAGCACAATAGCTTAATCACACGGTCACCCGAGTCTTCACGCTGTGGCAGGAAGCTCACGATCACACGGCGATGCTGGAGCTGGCAAAGAAGCCGCGCGGCAAGCGTTCCGTGTTTGTGCGCATGCGCAGTTCCGCAGAGCAGCACTGCTTCCAGTTTAGTGTTCATGCGCATGCGCTTAGCGAAACCATCTGGTTTGCGGTGGGACTCGGACGGGCGCCGGAAGCCACGGAATACTAGCGCTCCCGCAATCAGACACCCGCCCTTTCCCAGCGTTTTCCGGATATTACTGCACTTTCCTTGGTAGTTTTTTACCACGCATCTTCGGCAGGATGCCACGGATTGCCCACGGGTGTGCTACGCTTCCCAGATGTTGCGGTGTGATCGTGCACCAATAATCCGCCTGCCATTCGTGTCTTTACTGTGGCAAATCCTCCGTGTGAACAGGGCCATAGATCACTTTTTAATATACTTATTGTTCAAGCCAAGAAACAGGAAAGAGGTCCTACCTCATCCCATTCACTGATGATCCTTAGTATAATGCAATAGTCTTTTTCTTGTTTCAAGGGAGCATTGTAAAATTTCCCATAGTAAAGTCTGTCTCCAAGAGCAAAGACTGATCCGTTGTCAGTAAGGGCCTTGGCTGGGAATTCAGCTGCCACGTATCCATCAGAGTCAGTGCCACTGCTGAAGTAAGTTTGGGCAGTCAAGGAATAACAATTAAAGTTGCATTCTGGGCTCCACGGAATGACGATCACTTGGTAAGAACTAGAATGAAACAGAAAAGCATCAGGCATCGTCAAAAGTAATTTATATTCAATTGCCATTTGATGTCTGGCCTGGCTTTCGAGCAAGGGAAACCTTTACCTTTACTTTTACTTATTCTCTTTGGAGCACAATTTTGTTTAAAAGTTCCCCATCATTGGCCCCCAATGAATTACTTATTACAGCTCGTAAAACCAAACAACGTGTAATCTCAAATTATTAAACTGTATTCAGAACTGTTCTTCGGAAAGCCCAGGGGGCAGGGGACAACCGACAGAAACTGAAAAAAATATATTAAAAAGTATTGAAATTTAAGAAGTCTGAGCCCCAGAAAAGAGATTGGAAAAGCCTGCTCTGGGCCATAAAAACAAAAAAGGGGAAAACCTTTCTGGATCACAATTGCAAAAGGATTAAACACGCAGCTCCTCATACCCTGGCATATTCTAGGCACTGTTTGGGAAGCTTTTTTTACCTGTTTTCGCAAATGGCCCCCAAAATACCAATATTGCCATTGGGTGCCAAGGAATGGCCCCCAGTAGCAGCAAGTGAGATTAGGACTTTAATTAAACAACAACAACAACAAAAATAGAAAGTACTTGAGCCTGATTTAATACCAGAAGAACTATTCAAAATTGACCCAGACTGGTGGGCACAGGTTTTGGCTGCTTTTTTCACTGAAATAAACAAGGCAGGACATATGCCCGAAATCTAGTGTAGTGCAATAATTGTTCCAATTTATAAAAAGGGGGATCCAATGGACCCGATGAATTACCGTTCAGTAAGCTTGCTACCCACTATAGGGAAACTTTATGCTGCAATGCTTCTTGAAAAGTCGGACTCTTGGGTTGAAGGAAATAACATTCTGGGAAATGAACAGGCTGGTTTTAGAAAAGGAGCAAGTATGATTGACCAGTGCTATACCCTTCAGTTCTTAGCTGATAAACACATGAGTTCTGAAGAAGGCATACTGGCAACTGCCTTCATGGACCTAAAATCAGCATTTGAGACAATCTCTAGACCCCAACTATGGGAAAAGCTGAAGAAATATGGCATTGAACCATGTCTCCTTTACTTAATTCAACAGCTCTACAACCATCCCTCCACCCAGGTTAGATGCAGGGAGTTAGGACAGCAATTGGAGCCTTTCATCCTAGACAAAGGAGTCAAGCAGGGATGTTTACTTGCACCCCTGTTGTTCAACTTCTATATAAATGACCTCAGACCCCGTATCCTGAAGGAAGCATGTCATCTTCCACATTTATCTAAGCACGAAGTTTCAATCCTTCTATTCACTGATGATGCAGTGATAATGTCTAGATCAGTAGTGGGCCTCTGCAAGCTGATTAAAAAAAATTGAGCTTTACTGCTGTCATGAAGGCTTGTCCATCAATGTGGCAAAATTCAAGGTCATAGTATAAACCAAAAGGAAAAAGTGGGAAATCGTCAAATGGGACATAGCAGGCCAACCTTTGGAACCTGTCAATCAATTTAAATGTCTGGGAATCCACTTTGAAGCATCTCTTACATGGAAAATACACTTGGATCCAGCAAGAAACACAGGCTTGAGAGTAGGGAGGACAACTGTAAAATACTACTCATCGGGAGGTGAATTTGTCCCCTCGGCCTTAAAGGTATTTAACGTTAAGGTTCTAAACCAATTCCTGTATGGTACGGAAATTCGGATTCAGGCAGCTTATGAAAAAATAGATTCCATCCAATATGACTTTTTCTAGCGCTTACTGACTACTCCTACATGTGTCTCGGGCATACCACTGAGAGCGGAACTAAGCAAATCATCAATGGAAGCTAGGGCTTGGATTAAAGCATTTCTCTTCAAAGTAAAGATTTTAAAATCTGAGGGAGGATCTACTCTACTTGGGCTTATCCAGGCAGATAAACATTATAGCCAATGTAATCAGCTATTGGAAAAGAAAATGAAATGCCTAAGAATAACAAATGATATGATTAAGAAAACAGAAACTAAAGGCATTCTAAGACAAATTAAAGAATGTTTGAGGAAGTTGGATGTTACAAGTATGTCTATTGGGGCGCGCAGGATATATTCTACACTCCATTTGAGAATTGCCCTCCCGATACAACTGCCGAAATATTTTTATCAACTGACAGTCCCAAAACTAAGAAGAGCTTTTACTTTGGCAAGAATGAACGTTCTTCCCTCAGCAGTTTTGGAGGGCAGATATACCCCCCCATTATCATGTCTTCAAACTGCATCAGAAAGCTACTACTGCTCTGTTGTGAAACTTATGTGTAGCCGCACAACACAACTTTTACAATAACTGATCCATGGGGCCATTTGAGAATGTGAAGACAGCAGGACGGGGCTACAGCTGCTTCTTGCATGCTGTTCTCATGAACAGAAATGAACTGCTGTACATCTGGGAGGCAAAAAATTCTCCCACTGCACATGTGACACAAAGTCCTTGTGCTGTTCCTCAACAAACATAAGGATTTTGTAATGAGACGGCTGAACCTCTAGTGCGCTATACACAGAGTGCTACACTGCAGCTACCTTACAAAGGTTCGTATCTCCACTGAAGGCTGGGACACCCAGCACCAGAGACAAGTGTGCCACTCCCTGCACATCTTACTTTTTTCTACAAAGAGGAAGTGAAAGACAATATGCTGGGACACTGTTAGGGCTAATCCTACCTCTTCCCTCTAGTAAACCTAATTTCTTGCAGGAAGGAGATTTCCCCCTAAGCATAGTCTATTTACTTTGCTCCATACAAGTTAACAGAAACTATTGAAATCAAGCCCCCACATCTTCATCTGCATAGTCTGGGAACAACTATGTGGTCACATTACAGTATGATGCTAAAGCAAAACACAGGCACTTATTCATCTGCATAGTCTGGGAACAACTACGTGGTCACATTACAGTATGATGCTAAAGCATGACAAAAAGATAGAACCTAGAACTGGCTTAGAATATGCAGGGTACACACTAGTAGTATTTAAAAAAAAGGAAAAGAAAACTCCTTGGGACGATTAAGTCACTAATTAACATTTCATTTCTGCCAGTTAAGCAGTCAATATAGTCAAAAAGCAATCATTAGAATAAGAATAAACAGAAGCCTCTTCAGTGAGTTTTTACTTCATCGCCATCTTGTATGCAAACTCTTATAGAATTTCTTAATCAGCTACAATCTTGATCCTCTGCATGCAGGGGAAGGAAAATATGTAGAAAAACAGGTGCAAGGTGAAGAAATATTTATTTAGCCTTACACATTTCACAATTCCCTTCGTCAGGGGATCATTTCCAAAGTTATTCACATTTCCAGAGTGACTCGCTTACTGCTCAAGGTGGAAAATGAATAACTTTGGAAATGATCCCCTGACGAAGCAAATTGCGAAATGCACAGGGATCCACAGGAACTAAATAAATTTCTTCACCTTGCACCTGTTTTTCTACATATTTTCTGTCTACTGGTGCAGCCATTCTTCTTTTCTTCAGTGTAGGGGAAGGAGCCATAGTGCCATGTCCAAGACAATACAGTCCATTTGTGAATGAGGTGAGCCAAATTTGGCTCTCCCCTTAGAGACTAAGCCAAAGACACAATCTGTAGGCTAAACACTCCTTAATATCTTTTTAACTATCCTATTGCATTCACAACTAGAGTGAGTGCGTGCTTGTGCTGGAAGGGAGATTCAGATCCAGGTTAATGATTGCAAGTGTGGAACTGGGAAGTATTACCTTTCATAGCTCCCTGGGTTAACCAATATAGGAGCAGGGTTTTGACTATGGGGCACAAAATACCATGCTTAGGACATCACTGGATTTTAAGATCAGGAAGTAAATAAGCAACCCAGAGTAAACCCACATGTGGTAGAAATTAAACCCCCCGATTTGTCATGAAATTTAGAAGGACAATATTCAGAACAGCCAGGTATAAATATCAGATATTCCCTGTATGTCGTTAATATATAACAGAAAACCCACGGACCTTATAGGTCCATTACTTTCTTCTGCCTTCGTCAGGTTGAATAATGGAGAAGAACCTTCTGCTGATATAAATTCCACTTCTGGGCACCGCGGAGCTAAAAGGCAAGCCATATATCACCGTTATTATTGTTACTGCATTCGAAATTGCTTTTAATGTACAAAGTGCCTTATATGGTTTGGATCCTGAACAGCATGGGCAGAGCTGTGCTAGAGAAAATCAAATACCCTGCCTCTGACCTCTCACTGCTGCCTTCTAGACCAGTTGAAACGGTGCCTCTTCAGGTCAGTGCCGCTGCCCCCCCACCGAACCACTGGGAGGGGCAACAGTGGGATGGAGGAATTAGTGAAATTCACCCTCTTCTCCAAATGAAAATGCTGTTCTGTTCGCAGAACTGCTTTTACGCTGATGGAATGACAATTTCAGATCCGAGGATATATGTTTAGCATCTTTATTTGCCATCAACATCAATCTGGTCAAGCAGTCTGTTTTTAATGCTTGGTTTACAGATGAGGAGTAGGAGGGGGATGTTGATAAAAGTCCCTGAGATTTCAGTCTGAGCAACAAGTCTGGCCACTGAACAGGCTATGCAAGAATTTGAACATAGTTGTCCATGTTAAGTCTGGACAACACTGGTTCTCACGATTCCAAATTGAAATTCATACCTGAAAACCAGTGCTTTCAACACATAAATGATATTAATAACATTCAGAATTTTGTTGTTTGAAAGCTAAAAAAAAGGAGATTTTGTTGGCTGAAAACTAATGCAAAAGCAGCTCACTGAGAATGTATAATAATAATCAAGTGCTGTCAAGTTGCAACTGGCTCATGGTGATCCATAAAGGAGTTTTCAAGGCCAGAGATGAAGAGAAGTGGTTTTCCATTGCCTGCCTCTGCACAGCAATCCTGGGCTTCCTTGGTGGTTTTCCATCCAAGTACGACCCAAGGCCAATCCTGCTTCCAAGTTCTGGTCAAGCTAGTCTGGGCTATTAAGGCCCAAATGTTAACCAGATACTAATCAGCTATGCAAATGTCCTGAAAAGTCACTAGTCTACACAGCTAGTTCTGTTCTTCTAATGCTGAAGCCTTCCACAGTGGCAAATAGCCTTCCATCAGTAGAACACTGCCTCGTCTTCTGAAGGAAGGCCCTTTGCCCGATTGTGTTAGAGGAAACCTCTGCTACTGGTGGCCTGGAGCCTTAGGATCCACCTCATAACTTTTTTACTAGCCCTGCTCTGCCCATTAGTCATCTATGGCAGTGATGGCGAACCTTTTAGAGACCGAGTGCCCAAACTGTGACCCAAAACCTACTTATTTATCGCAAAGTGCCAACACGGCAATTTAACCTGAATACTGAGGTTCTACTTTAGAAAAAACAACTCAGACATTAACTTAAGATGATCCAAACAAAGTAAGGAACGCAATCCCAAATGCTTTCATTTACTTAAAATTATTTGGCAGAAAATTCGACACTTTAATGATGGTCTGGGCCTGGCGGGGGCGATGGCATGCGTGCCCAAAGAGAGGGCTCTGAGTGCCACCTCTGACACCCGTGAAATAGGTTCGCCACCACTGATCTATGGCATACTAAAGTCCCAAAAAAAGACAGAAAACAAACTCTCTCCCTGTCATCCAAACCTCCCTTGTCTGAATACCTGGAGGCAATCCTTCTATGCCAGAGCCTATTTTATATTCATGTTCAAGATAAATAAATAAAAGCACGATTCTAACTCATATGACTTCCCTCAGAGGTCACTTACAGAAGGGGAAATATGTTTGGAAGCATGCACAAAATCTTAAAGAGATCTAAATGGAATCAGACACATCCCAGTCACGATGGATTTCCTTTTTCTTCACATTCAGTACCATTCCAGAAATCATTCTTTCACATCTTTTCGGCCTCTGTATAATCAGTGCTTAAGGGCAAACTACATGTTTATATAAAAATACATGTTTTTAAAAGCCCTGATTTCAGCGGGGGGGGGATTTTTTGAAACCAAAAGCAGCTTGGGCGGAGGGGGTTCAACTAAGGACTGGCTATGTTTGTACGTGTGAGCGCTTAACAATTTCGTCTTGGTGCTTTTCGCACAAAACTGCCTCTGACAAGAACATTGTCGCTTAAACAACAAGGAAGGGGGCTTTTTGCAAAGAATGGCTGTTGCAGCTTCATGGCATGCATTTCTTTTAGCATGGAGTTAGCCAATAATATTTGCTTCAAGAAAATTTTTTTTGTTCTGGTTAAAAAGCTGATGAGGCCCTCAGGTGTTTAAGCATGAAGTGCAGAGAGGAAACACAAGGAGGTTATCCATCCATTAGGATGCAAAATGAGCAGAATGTCTATTTGTTTATTCTATTCATAGTCCACCTTTCTCATTCAGACTCATGAACCACTAAACCAGCAGCAGCTACTCCACGGCTTTATGAGACACACGTAGCTTTTTCACATGCCACCTGCGCCTCTTCTAATTTTGTGTTCTAGGGGCTTCCTACATACCTTCGACTGAATGCTGAGAAATAAACAGAGGTGCACCAGGGATGGAGACCAGGCAACAAGCTAGAGGTAAAAACCACGGCGGGGGAAGCCCTTCGAGAGGACATCCGAGAGAGCAAACGTAAGACAGAGAAATGGTCGGAAAGAAAGAGGCCAGCATACAGTATTCGTGTGACACTTTTGGTTGATGGTGATTGTGAATGTGGCACTCCAAGCTGTGGAGTGAGTACCACTGCACTAAATTAAACGCAACCTGCTAGGTACGCTATACGTATTCTATTGTACTGCCAGTCTGGAACTGCAAAAATGGGGGCAGAGCGTCATACATTTTGTGGGCTACAATATATGGCTCCCAGGGAGAAACTCAACCTGTTGAGTCACAGATGGTGCAGGCTTGCACTACCATTTGACAGATGGGTGAATTATTTAGTAGACTGCTATAAATGGCCAAAAATTGGCACACAGGAGAAGCCTGGTTCATAGGGTTCATATCACTCCAGTCTTGGTCCATCTACACTGGCTCCCAATTTGTTTCCAGGTACATTTCAAAGTGTTAGATGGTCTGGGACCAGCATACCTTAAAGAACATCTACTCCCATATGAGCCTACTTGACTGCTACAGGAGGGATGCTGGCTTTCAGGTGGGACCAGAGGATCTCCCAGAATTACAGGTCATCTCCAGACTACAGAGACCAGTTCCCCTGGAGAAAATGGATGCTATGAAGGGTGGGGCACTATGGCATTGTACCCTACTGAGGTTCCTGTCTTCCTCGGGCTCCATCTCCAAATCTCCAGGAGTTTCTCAACCTGGATCAGGCAATCCTACCCTCCCCATTGCCCACAAGTGGCCAAGGAGGACCTGGAAACCCTTTGCTATAGTTACCCCCCTGAAGCCTTGTTTTGGGCTTTCTGAGGCTGGACAGGTAGCAACCCAAGAGTAGTCCTTCTTGACCAGGGATCCATAATTATGGAATTACCTCCCCAGGGAGATTAGTTTGTCTCCTTCTATTACTGTCTTCCTACAGCAGGTGAAGACTTTTTGTTTCACCTGGCATCACCTCAATGACTCCTCCTTCCTGCCTTGTATTTTAAATAGCTGCCTACCTCTTATTTATGTATTTCAGTTCTGCTTTTTAATTGGTTTTATGATGTATGTTATTAAGCTGTTTTAATTGTTAATTTTCTTGGTGGTCCTGATTGCATGGAAGGCAGGGTATAAATGTTATAAATAAAATGAATAACAACAGCCTCCCTGCTGAGTTATCTTTGAAAAAGGATTTCTACTGTGGTTTGTAGCAAGATAACATCTGGCAAGGAAACAGGTCATCAGTCGAGATTTTTAGAGTTTTCACCTCAACTACACTGAAGAGGAGGGAAAGTACCATAGTGGTTAATGGGACCACAAAAATCACTTCTCTATTTCTCCCTAAGCAAAAAGCAGAGGATACTGAAACAATTTCTCAGCTGAAGTTCAACAGCTTCTCCTAGTGGATGATTACAGTTGGTGTGTGGGGGGAATGTAAAAAGCTTACAAAGGCTTCCTCTATGTTGCTAATGGGTTAACATTAAAAGCATCCTCAGCTAGCACACGTTTCCCCACAGTGCATGTGAGATATGCACAGGTGTTTCACGTTTGGGGAATTTGTTTGTCATGTGATTGTAACTGCATAATGTGTCACGGCTTGGATCCTATGCAGCACAAATGGAGCTGTACTGAGTAAGTTCTGATTCCTCCCATGCGATCTTCTGTTCCTCCTCGGGTCTGTGGACCTTCAGGAACATTGTGGGAGTTGCACTGTGTTCAGGCTGTAGTGAAAGGGGACAAAATGGACAAGAATGACTTTCCCACCCTCTTCTGTGAGAAGTATCTGCCGCAAACAGAAAGGGTGCTTAGTGTTTCAGTCAGCTTTTTGTCTCCTTTTTCTCAGCTCTTCATCTCCTTCTTTCAGTTCCATTGGGGTTCATGATACATTTCCAGAGGCCTCACTGTCATTTCGTTTGTGATGTATACCGAACTTTAAAGTAACTAGAGCTTTATACGTTTTACCTAGCCGGTTAGCACAACTCATATTGGGCAGATCATTTTAAAATGCTGCAAAGAATCAGGGTAATCTGTAGATGAATCAAACAGAAGGGATACTTCTGTTTAATATAGGGGACAATTTTGGTCAATGAGGGCAAATTTTAATTAACAGGCCGGCAGACATACTTGTTTTGTTTAGAGTTTGTTTTACATCTGGTCGGTGTGTTCTTTGACAGGGCATGAAAAGAAAAGAAAAAACAGATGCCTGGTTTTGTTTAATAAATTGTAAATTGTCTCAAGATATTTTAATGAAATTAACTAACTAATCAATGAAAACACAGATCATTCTCAGCCACTTTTTATTGTGTTTACTGATGTCTTTTACTGACAACCTACATTGCCCAGATAAGAAATTCAGGCATGTTTACAACCCAAAGTCTTCTAATCCAAAGTGCAAAGGACTCTGTTTACCAATGCACGTGCACAACCTTGTACACAGCATGAGGTGACAGAAGTGATTGAACCATTTAAGACTCCTGGCAGCAGATCAGGTCCGTAGCTACGGTGGGGCCTCTCAGGGCCCACCCTCCCCACTTAGTGCCAGGGCCTCTCGACTTACTGTCTGGAGGCCATCTGCTCTCCCCTCCCCTGTGTGCTTTCCCTCCCCCAAGGTGCTCAGCAGGCAGGGGGCACGCAGAAGGAGCCCAGGAAGCCAAAGCAAGCATGCCTTCCCTGGGTGCTCTGCCACAGCCAGAGCTCAAGCCCAGACCAGACGCCGCTTCCCATGGGGAGCCCAGAGTCCTCCTGCTGCCGAGGGCCCTCCACTCTATCTCCCCCTCCCACACCAGGAGGGAAAGTTGTGCCCGTTCCAGGAGGCAATCTGAATATCTAGTGCAGGACTTTCAGTTTATGGCGACACGCTGGCAGAAGCACCTCCCAGATCTCCCGGGGGTACAATCTGCGCACTAGCGGTTAGGAGGGGGGACGATTGTTCGTGTGAAAGGCTCCTAGCCATGGGGCTTTTGAAGCCCCATTCCAATTCTACCACAGCAAGAACCATGACTCTACTGTAAAAAATTCATTCATATTCTATGTTTTGTCAATTTGCTTTAACAGTGATAGGGTGATATATTTAAGTCCCGCTAATAAGCTATTGTCTGGGGTTATTATGTGATCCAGAAGCGAGGGGCTTCCCGATGGAATTCAGCAACAATGGCAAAGGAAGGTAGATCAATTGCCTCTTACACCCTGCACTTTTGCTCTGTTATAAGATATAAGAGGAAACAAAAAAAAACCAGTGGAACAGCTTACCTGTGATTGGGGTCGTTGTGTAGACTGTGACACTATGTTCCAAATTTGCTGTGGAAATGTTAACAGTATAATTGCTGCCTGGGCGTAAATTAAGGCACAGTGCTGGACTCTGTGAACTCTCGACAAAATCAAGAGTCACAGAATGAAGGAATTCCTTCTGATACCAGCGTAGACCCTGTATGTGAAGCTGTAATGAAGCACATATGAGGCTATGAATTTCTGATGGTTTCACACACATTCACTAATGGACTGTCTTAATTTAAACAGACTGAACAAATATTTTGAGGAGAAAAAGTAGTGTACATAACATTAACCATATTCGCATACAAACAAACTGAAGCTCTCGATTCTAAGGTTAAGTTAATACAC